GTTTTGCAAACATCACTTTTTATTCTCCTAGATGATTTACAACTTACAGCTCGTTTATTATTTATATTAAAATAGCTAGTTTCAGTTATGTTTTTTTAGTGTAATTAATTTCCATTTTGATATAGTGGAAAGGGTACTGGGTTTAGGGTCAGAAGATATTAGTTCTAGCCCAAAAAGTCTTAGTCAAATCATTTAACCTCTTGGAGCTTTAAAATTAGGTTAGACTAGATTTCGAGATTCTTAACCTGGAATTCATGAACATGTTTTTTTTTTAAAACTATTTTGATAACTGTATTTCACTATAATTGGTTTCCTTTGTAATCCTATATATTTTATTTAATGTATATAAAAACATTATTCTGAGAAGGGATGCATAGGCTTTCATGGAGTGCCCAAGGGATCCAAGACTCAGAAAAGGTGAAGAAGGTCTGGACTCGTCCTCATCATCGACAGGAACAGCAGCACCATGATCTGACCAGATTTGAAGGTCTCCAAAGACCTTTTCCTACTCTGACACAGTCGATGATTTATACAAGTCAGGCGTACTTAACACATCTTGTTACACACACACACACACACACACACACACACACACACACACACACACACACACACACACACACCCCATGTGAGATTTTAACTCAAGAAACTTTTTTTTAACTTTTGTAGAAATCTTTCGTGAAAAGACTAATCTTTCTCATGAACACTGAAATACATGGGTGATCAATCTGGAAAAATGTAGTCTCCTTCTGTTATCTTCTCAATCCCCTTTAAAAGTGACCAAGATTAAGAATTGGGACCAAAAGCCTCCTTCCCTCAACGGTGAGTAAAAAGTAAACTGTCACTAAGGATAAATTCAAAGATTCTTAGAAGATAGAACCCTAGACCCTAACTCAGTCTTCCAGGGACCAAAACCTAGTCCCGGGAGGTATGGGGCATTACTGCAAAACGTCCAGTAGAACATAAGCTCCCAGAGGGCAGGAAGGACTTGTTCTATTTTGTCTTTGTTTTCCCAACACCTGCTGCAGAGCCTGACAAAGAGCAGACAATAAATGTTTACTGAATTGAATTGAATATAATCATCAGGGCAACTTTAGTATACTTGGATACACAAGGTAGGGCTAGCTCTAGGTAAAATGTTGAAGAAGGGTAAGGTGAGATTCATTTCCCTACTAGCTCTACCTTGCAGACACTCTTCTCACCCTCCCCTTTACCCTACTTATGTTCACCCTTCCCCACCCCTCACCCCCCACCATTGTAGTGGCCCACTCAGTCATGCCCTCAAGGTTAATATAGCCAATAATCTGTACCTTTTCCTTGCCCCGCCCCCAACTATTTTCACATTAATTTCCATTACTACCACCTTGGTCAAGGCCCACAAGATTTCATGCCTGGAGAGCTAGAAGAATATCTTAGAGATCCCAAGTTCATATACACTTGAAACCACTGCCAGGATAATCTTAATTGGTTGCTTTTTCCCGTGGCTCTCCCGCTCAGAAACCCAGCAGGAGAAGGGGGTTGGAGTGGAATGCTGAGCTTCTAACCTTGTAAAAGGGACCACCCTTCTCCCTCCCCCGACCCCATCAGCAGCAGTAGCAGCAGCACCAAGGCCTGACCAGCTTTGAAAACCCGGCTGTGGTCCCCACTTTGGCCAACGCAGTGCATGCTACAGTTGAAGGCAAAGAAAGGGTGAGAACAGCCATCCTCCCTGCAGCTACCTTAGGGGCTAAAATTAGAAGCGAGAGTCAGAGATAGTCAGGTGCTTCTTGGGCAATTCCTCCTTCTCTGTTGTGGGCTGGGACCTTGTCAGACTTATTTTATGAAGCATAGAAAGTCACCTTAGAGCCAAGAAGACTTGAGTTTGAGTTTTGCCTTTGGCACAGACTGGCTGTATGACCCTGAGCAAGTCACTTCTTTCACTACTCTAGGCTATTCTCTAAGATATACATTGCAGAGTAGGGACTAAACTCCATTGGTAAAAATGAATTTCCTCACCAGGAACTCCCTATACCAATAAAATTGCAAGTTCAGTCCCTATTGCTATTATTAATGTCATCATTATTAAAGAATACTATAAAATGGAGAAACGAATCATACTTACATTATCTAGCTAAGGTTGTGATGGGAAAAAAAGTTCTGCCAATTGTAATCTGCTCTATAAATGAGTTGTAAATGAGTAGCCCTCAGAAGGCAATGAGAGGTACATGCTGAGTGGGAGTAAGCAGATGGTTAACACTTAACCAATAAGAGACTATGAAGAACTTGATGAAAGGATGTCATAAAAGGACTGTGTGGTCAGTAAAGTATATGGGCTGGTCATATGGATAACCTATGGATAGACAGCCCACTGGTAATCTTTCAATGCCATAAGCAAATCTCTCAGAACATTGGGGGAACTTCTTTTGGTCAACCCATTGGAAGACTTGGACAGAAGTTGCCGTAGGCATGGATGGGCTGTGATTGATATCGGTGAATACATAAATTTCGATAGGGACTAGATCCGTGGTTTCTTTGATATGGAGAATTCCCTGTGGGGAATCCCCTCTACCAATGCAGATCACCACTGTCTTTGCAATTTGATATTTGATATTGGAGTGTAAGACTGACCATGTCACTCCTCTGCTCAAGAAGCTTCAATGGCTTTCTATTGCTTTAAAGAAAAAATACAGGGGGGCAGCTAGGTGGCACAGTGGATAAGTTCCAGCCTTGGAGTCAGGAGGACCTGAGTTCAAATCTGGCCTCAGACACATGACACTTACTAGCTGTGTGACCCTGGGCAAGTCACAACCCCAATTGCCTTACCAAAAAAAAAAAAAAGAAAAAAAAAGAAAAGAAAAAATACAAACCACTCTGCTTGGCATCTAAACTCCCTCACAATCTGGTTCTAACCAGTTTTTCCAGCCTGATTACATAGTACCTTCCCTCACAAATTCTAGCCTCCAGACAAACTGGCTTACCTGCTTTTTACCCCTCTCCTCCTATGTGACAGTCATCTCCAGTCTCTGTGTCATGGACTGTCCTACATATCTTAAATGTACTCCTTACCTTGGTCTCTTGGAAATAATAGTTCCCTTCAAAGCTCAGCTTAAGTGTCACCTCCTTCAAGAAGTCTTTCCTGATTCCCAAAATTGCCGGTCCTCCAGGCCACCCAAGTGGCTTATATTTATTTTATATACATCTTGTATTTACTACTTATCTGTGCCTCATTTTGAAGCAGAGAAACAGCAAATGAAAACTTGGTTGATTTCTCTGAGCCTACCTGGGTGAGGTAATGATGCTCTTGCTTAGGCCTCCTTCCCTTAACACTAAAAACAGACAAGGCCAAAGTGTCTAAGCTCTGGTAGATTTAGAAAGTCACTTTCTTATAGGCATACAAGGCAAATTCAAAGAACTCTTGTGAATTAAGATTAAAAAGTGAGATTTTTTAAAAGTTTATTTTATTAATTTTGATTTATCCACAATCACTTCCATATGCTTTTCAGTTTAAAATTTTTCTCCCCCTTCCTCCCCACCACCCTCCCCCAAGAAGGTACACAATCTGATATAGGCTATACATTTATATTCCTATTAAACATATTTTCACATTAGTGAAGTTGTAAGTAAAAATTAAAATCAAGGATGAGATTTAAAAAATAAACAGGGAAAAATACAGATACCACTGGCTTTGCCCTTATCATGTGGGCCTAGAGGGATAATGGAAACAGCAATGGGGCTCGAAGTCAGAAGATCACTGGGCTGGATTCCCAACTTTACTACTTATTAGTCATGTCACAGGTCTTGACCTCTCTGAGTTTTTTTCTTCATTTGTGAAACAGGAATGGTTCTGCTTCTATTACACTAGCTCAGGGAATTGATAGGAGGCAGTTTATAAATAAAAGTTAGATAAATGTGAGCTGCTGTTTTCTTTCCAGAAAGAAAAAAGGAAGTGGGGGTTGCAGAAAAAAACAGCTCCAGATTGTCACATTTACACTAAGGTTTACACTAAGGTAGGCTCTGGGGTTTGAGACCATGCATGAAACAAGTGGAGTGGGAAGACCACTCAAATTCCACCTTTAACACTTCCAGTGTTAAGTGACCCTTGCCAGGTCACAGAATTTCTTGGTGCCTCGGTTCCTCAGCTGTAACAAGGTTGCAAAGCCTCTAAAGTTTCTTTCAGTGTGAATTTTACGATTTATGCCAAATAGAACTTCGGACAATCTTCTTTAACTAAAGCAAATCCAACTTCTTCCAGAGAAACTGAAGGCTTTGCATTAGCATATCCCAAAGCAGAAGCATAACACAAGTTATAGCAGTGCTGATGCCCCTTGTAACTTGGTCACTAAAAACCTGTCAAACGGAATTAAAAGCAAACATCTATTGCCTCTCAGCAAGAGAGTGGAAGAAAGTTCAAGGTTGTTCCAAAGTCTTGTGCCACATTAAGCTTTTGATTGCTCCAGCACATTGCAGGAGACATGCAACCAGCATTCACCCAAGTCTATATTCTGAGTAAACAAGATCATCAAGAGCATCGAGTCACCAGAGTCCAGGAAAAAAGCAGGGATGGGGAGGGGGAAGGGCCCAAGATTTTTCAGAAGCCTGAGCTGTCTATCACTCGAGGGAACAGCACCTGCTACTAACTCTTTAAATAGGAAGCGTGTCCCAGGTGGAGGCTCCAGCCAAGTATTTGGGGAGAAAAGCGAACTGGAAACCAGTTCTTTTTCCAAGTATCTCTAGCCCTATCCTCTGATGCCCGCCTTTTGATTTATCATAAGAAATGGGTGAATTTCTTAGCAAGAACCGCCTTCCCACCCCTATCCCCCAGCCTTCATGAAGGAGAGGAGAGAAAGTGAGGAGGGAGAGGAAGAGGGCAAAGAGAAAGGAAAGAAGAAAGGCTGAGAGGGAAGGAAAGGAGGGAAAGAAGAAAGGGTGGGGGGAAAGGGAAGAAAGGAAGAGGGGAAGGGAGGAAGAAGAGGCAGAGAGGTGAAAAGAAGGGGAGGTAGGAAAGCGAGGGGAGGCACTACCTGCTGCTGTCCAGCTCCTCCTCAGTTTCTGCGGTGGTTTCTTCCTCTCCTTCAGACTCCTCTTCTGTCTCCAGCTCTGTCTCCTCCTCCGAGCCGAGGTAGCTGTCGGAGGTCGGAGCTGGGTCGTATTGGGCGCTCTCCATCTCTCAGGCCTCTAGCTGGGGCTAAGAGGCTTCCTTCCCTACTCACTTGGTGTTCCCCCTCTAACTCTGCCCTCCTGACCTGCGTCTGGGGCTTTTCTGTCTGTCAAGTCGTCCTGCTCCCGGGCTCAGGTTCCCGAGACTTGGCGGGTGGGGATGGCGGGGGGGAGGGGACTTTAAATAGAAGTCGTCAAAGTTACAGTCCCAAGTTTCTGATGCCGCTGCAGTTCCAGCTTCTTCTCCCTCTCCCCGCGTTTGCTGCCGGTGCCAACCCTCCCAACCAGCCCTCCCTCCGATCCATTTTAGGCAAAGCCCTGGCAGGCTCTGGACGCCTGGAAGTCTACACCCCGGACGGGCTCCCGGGGATCAAGGGGTATCAGCTGTTCTTTCTGAGCTGGGGGAAGGGACTTTGGACGACGAAACCCAGAGTTTAGTGAGGAACTAGATTATTCAACCAATCTTTCTTCTTCTTCCCAGTTCAGACCCCGTGGAGGGGTAGAATGGAGCGCTCTTCTCACCTGATTAGGGTGGAGTGGGAGGGGAGAAATGGATGGGAGGCCCAGGCAGGCCCACTGAGCTGCTAGATTCCTATCTTCCCCACCCTCCCCACATTCCCCACCACCCAAATCTCTATTCTGTAAGCGGGTGCCCCCGGCTGGCCAGCAAAACCTGCTCTTTCCCCTTGGGAACCTCTGCTTTGAATGCCAAAGGATGGATGCTCTCTGTCCATCTCCCAGTGCAGGGGTTGTTGGAAAAGGTCCTGGAGGGGGGGTAGGTGGGGTTTCCAGGATTTGAGGGGTAAGTGCAGAATTCTAATTGGGGAAACATGTTTTCCCTGTGGGTGCCTCCTGCCTGTACCACCCAACACTCAACCACCACCTCATACACATTGAGCCAAATTGCAAGGGATTAATAATAGATAATATTTATATAGCGCTTAATATGTGCCAGGCACTGTGCTAAGCACTTTACAACTATTATTCATTGTATGTTCACAACAACCCTGGGAACAGCACCTGCTACTAACTCTTTAAATAGGAAGTACCATCATTACCCCATTTTACAGATGTGGGAACTGAGGTAAACAGAGGTTAATGGACTTGCCTAGGGTCACACAGCTAGTAAGTATCTGAGGCTGGATGTGAATTCAAGTGTTCCTGACTCCAGGCTCAGCACTGCACCACCTCGCTGCCTATTAGCTTCATTTATAATCCAGAAGAAAAGACTGAGAGAAGAAAATGTTCCACATTAGCTCAAGGCCCAGGGCAAGGTTTCCTTTTAAAAGTAATCTGATGAAGTCTATGGACCCCTTCTCAGAATACTATTTTAAATCCATAAAATAAAATAGGATTGCAAAGGAAACCAATCATATTGAAATAAAGACTAATTTCTTTTTCCCATTTAAGTTCGCTGACCCACTGAAATCAATGCATGGATCCTAGGTTAAGAATTTGGCCTAGAGCTTTTTTTTTTTTCCCACCACTAGAATTCCAAAAAGCCACCCAAGCCATCCAGACCTTTCCCCTGTACCCCAACCAAGCTGGGCAAAGATCTCAGGGGACATGGTATCTGATCATCTTCCTTTATACTGACCACTTTGACTTTTTCACTTTGTTTAGAGATCAGAGGATGACCTTCCTTGTGGGGCCAGATTACTTCCTTGGAGCAGGATGGATCATACCCAGCTCTTGGAAACAGGGATGCTGTAAAATGGCCATCTGCAGATATGAAATTCAGAACACCCTGCCCATATGCTGCCTGATACAGCTAAAATGGTTCTGGGAGACTGAAGCCCCTCACTCTTTGTTGCTACATTATGCACTAATGGGGAGAGAGGGCAAATTCCAGGGCTCCTTTCAGAAGGATGTGTGGCTAGAACTGCTTATAAAAACAAGAAAGCAAATTCCACATGCTAAAACAAACATTAAAATGCCATGATTATAAGTCTGTTTTGCTAACAGAGTTCCCCAATCTACTGGCCCTCAAACCTGATATATTTAGGAACTAATGTAATAAACTATTCACTAATTTAGGTCCTTCATATGCTTGGGCCAAATGTCAGAGATACTCTACGCACATACAGTCCTTTCTCCAACCCCACCCCCAAAGTCCTTTAGAATCATAAAATCATAGATCAGAAGGTCAGGTTCAATTACTATCCCAAGCAAAAATTCTCTTACAGCATTCTTTATTCACATGAGAAAGACATATTAATTACCTACAATGTGCAAGGCCCTTTGTTAGAGATTTTTGAGAAAGAAGACAAAAATAAAATAATCCTTGCCTTCATGGAGTTTGCATTCTGTTGAAGTAGTATAATTTGTACTCAGATAGATAACCAGATGCCATAGAAGTTAGAAAGCTGGACTTGGAGTCAAGAAGATGTGAATTAAAATCCTACCTCTAACACTTACTTAGTCTGACCCTGTGAAAGGCACTTAACTTGCTTCTGTTCCTCTTCTATAAAATAAGGGAATTGGATTTGATGGTCTTTGAAGGCCTTTTCCAGATCTAAATCTATGATACTATGAACTCACAATGCCTTTCAAATCAAGTTGTGTTACAAGAAGAAATACACTGCTTTGGAAAGGTAAATCTTCCCAGTTCTTCCTACTTCAAAATACATTCCTTCCTCCCACCCCATAAGGAACCCCACTTATGACAGTGCTGAAAAAAAGATGGTATTTCCGGATCCTTCCTTTTCCACCTATCCATTCCACAACTCCTCAATATCCTCCCACCTTTGTCTTTCCCCACAGCACTGGGAATAAAAGCAAATAACCTGAAACTAAGAGGGCTAAGGCAGTTAGCTAAAACAGTTAATATCCAAAATCTGGACAGCCTCAAACAGTGGATTTAATTTAATATGGCAAATCTTAATAAGGACATGTATAAATATGACTACATTTTAAGTTTATTTAATATTTCCCCCAATTACATGAAAAACAATTTTTAACATTCATTTTTTAAAATGTTGAGTTCCAAATTCTCTCCCTCCTTCCCTTTTCCCCTCATTGAGAAGGCAAGTAATTTGATATAGGTTATACATGTGCAGCCATATTTCCTTATTATTCATGTTGTGAAAGAAAACAGACAAAAAAACCATCAGAAAAATAAAGTTAAAAAAAAAAGTATGTTTCAATCTGCATTCAGACTCCATCAGTTCTTTCCCTGGAGTTGGGCAGCATTTTTCCTCATAAGTCTTTTGGCATTGTCTTGGATCATTGTACTGTTGAGCATAGCTAAGTCATTCACAGTTGATCATCGTACAGTATTGATGTTGCTATGTATAATGTTCTCCTGGTTCTGCTTACTTCACTTCACATCAGTTCATGTAAGTCCAGGTTTTTCAAGCATTCTGCTTGAACATTACTAATTTTAAAATTCCCTAACTACTGCATAGGAGAGTCATGGTTAAATAATTCACATGAAAAAGACATGCAGATTTTAATGGAATGAAAACTCAATGAGACAACAGTATATGGCACTCAAAATAGGTATTGAAGCATTAGGCAGCATTAAGGCATGGTGTCCAGTTTTAAAGAGACAACAACCCTATATCGGATATACTAGTTGGCTCAAATTTAGAGTGATGCATTCTGTTCCAGGCGTGACATTTTAGGATTGATGATGAAGAATGGCTTAAAGCAGCTAACATCTAGCCAGAAAGTTGAAGGAACTAGAATCCATGTGTGGTAGGATCTGTTAAAGCTATGACGGTGACCATTAATTTCATGGTGTCTGTCTTGCGGTTTCTCTGGCCTTTTCCATTATGTGTATAAGTATACATTTGCTTCTTAGAGTTTCCTAGCTACAAATGTCACCTAACCTCACTCAGAGGAATATAACTGACCCACTAGTTTGCTTAGAAAATAAGAGCATGCATACATGCATTTGTTTATTGATACATAGCTTTATTAAATAGTAATTTTCTTTTCTCCTATTAGGATTCTCAGATTGGATATTATTCCCTCTCCTCTACAGAATCTGAATTTGCATTCATATGAATTGCATTCCCTTGAAGGGAAAGTTACAAGAACCTCCTTAAGGCATAGGAACTTCACTTGAGAGAATCAACCCAGGCTGCCCTCCTGGCACTGGCTAATCAATTTAGAGGCAGAAATCTCTGTTAATGTCCCTATTAATTGGTTACTATCCTGTATACCTAGATATGGGGCAGCTAGGTGGCCAGGATAGAGTGCCAGGCCTGGAGTCACAAAGACTCATCTTCCTGAGTTCAAATCTGGCATCAGACACTTGCTGGCTGTGTGGCCCTGGGCAGATCATTTAACCTTGTTTGCCTGTTACCTTATCTGTAAAATGAGCAGGAGAAGGAAATGGCAAGCCACTTCAGTATCTGTGCCGAGAAAATCTCAACTGGGGTCACAAAGGGTCGGACACCACTGAACAACAATAGTAAATACCTATATAGTTGTAATTGTTAATTTTTTTTAAGCTTTCCCCACTGAACTAGATGTTTCCCTTCTATTTCCCCAATTATAACTTCACAGATAAACATCTATCTGGGCCCAAAGAGCTCTACAGCATCTAGGATCACAGATCAGATTCTGCACATGCAGCTTATTAGTTAAACTCTGGTAAATGAATAAATGTTCCAATTCTACATTCAGTCAATTAACAAACATTTATTAATTTAGCTTACTACAACCAGGTACTACCAAGTCCCTACCCTCAAGAAGTTCATATTCAACTAATGATTGCAATTAAAGATACCAAAACATAGATATGGAGTAGAGCAAAGATTGATAAGCATTTATTAAGTATTTACCATAAGGCATTTACTACCAAAATATTAAACAGTGGAAATAAAATCAGAAGCAAAAAGAAAGCCAATCCCAGCCCTCAAGAAGCTGACATTCTAATGGGAGAAGACAATGAATAAAAGGGAGCTGAAAAGTTGGGAGGCAGGAGAGAGAGAAGAGACTTCAAAACGCAGAGGCCTGGTTGAGAAGTCATGACAGTTAGGAGCAGAGTTGGAAGAGGAGTGAAGTGAGCATATATAGCCTGGGCACTTCCTCAAAATGGAGGTTTGGGGAGAAACTCATCAATTAAAAGAGGGAACCACAGGAATAGATGGATCTTCCAGGGTAAGAAGTATGCTTGCAAAGAATATCCCCCAATAAATCTTTTTTAGACATGTAGGTCGTGAGCCTGGGCCGCCTCCTTTTCCTTTCCAGTGAGGATGCTGGG